AATATTAGCATCTTTGATGGTTGACCTTCACCCCCCAGGATCCCCCACCCGGAAAGGCTAGCAAGGGAATTCTGGGAGTTGAAGTCCACCTGTCTTAAAGTTGCCAAGGTTGAGGAACCCTGTTCTATAGTATCAATTTCAACAGAATTTACTTCTGAGTAGATATGTATACATCTTTGTGTATTTTTGAGATATCCTGAAAGATTTAAGCTCAGTAACAAAATGGGATATGTGAGTTGGCTCTAAAAACAGATTAATTGGCTATGTGTCAGAAAAAGACCCAGCGACCCTGGGTCAGGGTGGATTCAGCAGGCATGCTCCCTAGGATGTGTCTTCTACAATTCTTTCATTGGTTTTGCTATTTTCCCTGACATGATACTCAGTAACTCTCAGTTATAACTTATTCTTGTTCTTTACATTTACATATAAGCCTTTGAGAGTTGGAATTCCGATAAAGGCAGACTATAAGTTCAATTAAATAAAGAAATAAATCATCTCCCTCTTAGGAAGAAAAGAAAACTTTACCTTATATTCATTACCATCCTTCACACACACATTTTTAGGGTCTAGAGAAAAGAAGAAGTGTTTAAGTCTCTGTCATTACTTTAAGCGCTTTACTTAAAAGTAACTGTATATTATAAAGCTTCTTGATATACTTTCTCTACTAGATAATGTTAAATGAAGTAACAACACATTTTCTTCCCTTTTCTCCCCAATTATTGTATTTACTGATACCCACTGAAGATATTGCCATTTATATCGGTTTTTTCATGGGATTTTAAAGCCTATATCTGATTTTTTGTTCACTTGATTTCTATTTTTTTTATCCTTTTGTTTTCTTTTATGCCAAATACTTGTTTTGCTTTTAATGTAAAAATTTTAATGTATTTGGGGTTATCATTATGCTCTGAGCAGTTCTGAAAATTATTTCTGAGACAGAAGTTATAAATATTTTAAATAAATAAATAAAAAGAGTATCTCACTCTGAAACTCAGGTGCGTTTTGCTACAATGGAATATCAGTCTTTAATCTTTTTTTTCCTATTATAATTCATAACTCATCACTGCATGCTGTCAAAATAGTCCTATGCCAATCTGCATATAAAAGAATTTAAAATAAAGTGAAATAATCCCTCCATTTTTTCCTGCGTTGACTATATTTGGCCAATAAAATCCAACAAAAGGGAGGAAAACACAGAACACTGTATCCTTGGTGGGGAAAAAAATAAGTTCCCGATCATTGACTCCTTGGCAGAATGCAAATTCTTCTTTAAAACTGATTATTTTCAAAAGAATACAAACAACTGTATGAAATAAAGGGATCCTTATCAAATGTCACCATTACAATATTTTCCAATTTCATATAATAAAACAATATGTTTTAAAAAACACCAAATCATTTGTTTTTATCTTGTCATGTAGGAGGTAGTATCTTCCATAAAAGCCACTTCACAGATCTTAAAATCAATTTATTCTGTTGTAAAAAGACAGGGTAGGAGGTATTACTCCTTAAAGATAAATCAATGTGCTAACCCTTTAAGATCAGCACCACTGATTCATCCACAGCACCAGCTTTTCCATAATCATTGTTAATATAATACCCTACACTCGATGTGATTCTACTAGATGAAGAAAAGAACTACATTCTTTTCCTAAGTGCCATGCAGATATTCAACACGAGACTCCCTATTTTAAACTTTCCTGGGTTAAGTAATGAAGTCAGAAAGAAGGGCTTTATTTATACAACATTTACCCTAAAGGAAGCTAATCTTGAATTTAAGAAACCCATCACCACCAAAAGAAAAATAGGTGCGTACACACAGACACACGAACAAGAAATTAAACCCATAGGAATTGAATGAATAACGACTGATAAAAATTAATTGGCTGTAAAATAAAGTATCTCAAATTGGTTCCCTATCCATGGACTGCCAACCATTATCTCTCACCCAGAACACATTCTCATGTACAGACATTCTCTTCCTCCATTCTGAAAAAGAAGAGGAAAGCAGGAGGAAGATAGGGAAGGGAAAGAGCAGCTGCACTGGGAAGAAAGGGAAAACAAAAGAGAACAAAACTGGATGGGGATGAGGCAAGAAAAGGGGGAAACACCATATTTAGGTATTAATGTTAAAATTCATCAGGCAAGCAACCTCTTTTTAGTGATGGTTAATCTTCAAAGGTATGTATACTTTTTTCCAGTAATATCTGCAGCAATTTCTACCTCCCTCCCATTTATTTGTTTTCAACATTATCTTCTGTTCTTCCCTAGTAATGTAAGACTACAGACTCATCCACAACTCACAGGTGATTATTTGGAGTAAAAATCTCTCATCTTTCTATAGCTGAATATAGATAAATGCAACCAGAATTCTGAACAACTCTGAACTGAATTGTGTGATATCATGTAGATATGGAATCTATGGTTATCCAAGTGGTTTTATTTAAAACTACCAGCTATCCCAACATGGCCAACGGTGATTTGGGGAGATGTAAGTGAGCCACACAAGTCTTCATTCTTAATTATCAGTCACTGTTAAGAATGACTAACAGTCACTCAAGTTCATGTGAACACAAGATGGATAGGGTTTATAGATCTCTATTATGTATTGTTTAACATTAATGCACAGAAACAATTATTTCATAAATCAAGTATATTACATATAATGGCCAAGAAAAATATTGCAAAGGACAAATTTATAGAAGTGAAAGGAATTTTAAAAATCTGTGAACATGATATTATGCAATTCATTGCACAGTAGCAGTACTGTAAATTTGATTTTCATTCAACTGATAAGTGCTAGGTAATGAACTAAATACAAATTTTGTGGAAGTCATTCCATTGATAATAACTGGACATAATTCTGACTGAATAAGTTTAGGGTCAAAGTGTTAAGCTGAATTTTCCAAAGCCATATATTCATCCTTCCAAAGTCAGTTAAAACAGACTTACCACATCGATAAATAGGACAACAGTGGCCTTCACTAGTGTTAGCAACAGCTACGAACCCTGGATCACACTGAGGAGGCTTGGTTGTACATTCAGTGGTATTGCACACTATGATGGAGAAAAGGAAAAATCAACTTCCATATTGGCAAATCATCCATTTTCTTCTAAGCATAGACTATTGCGGAGTAAAGCAACTGTGTCTTGGAAATTATTTAAGTTTAGGGATTTTCTCATAGATTGAAAAAGTGTAATGAGAAAATCTTATTAAGTTAGCTTTCTTGTCAATAATACTTTATAAATGAGTTGGACTGTGAATGCACATCACTTGAAATACAATCATATTTCCTCTACTGAGAGTGGCTTTCCAAGGATTCTAATCTGGCTGCCTGAAAGAGATGGCATTAGGAAATAAATGTACAGAATTATATAGGTCACATAGTATCACTGCCATTGACCTTTGATACCCACATGGACATACTCACCACACATGATGTCTGAACAGCATTTGTCCTTAGGATTAACTCTGGTGATCTTCTGAAATCCTTCTCCTTCACATGTTGCTTCATGAGGTGACACTGGACATTTGTGGGGTTCACAGATAATGCCACTTCCACCTTCCATGCAAATACAGTCTTTGCAGTCAAACTGAAAGTTCTCCCCAAACTGTCATTGAGAAAAAGTAACCGTTTAATAGTGTAAGTACCTACAGTACCTATATTAAGCAGAATGAATCTGATCCTGCCCACGTGCACCGTTGAAGGATTGTCATAAACGTTACAGGAATTTCTAGGAGTTTACAGAAGAGATTACTCGATTTATTGGATAGGGGCATTGGCAAAGGGAGTAAAAAACTAAATATGGCAGGTCCATTCACATGACTGAAGCTCAGTTCCTTTTTATATGTAATACACATATACAATATTATATGCAACTGTATTATACAGTTGCATATAATATATAATACAGTTGCAACTGCCATCTTTAGTAAGTAATCTAATAATCCCATCTGTTGATTCCTTGAAATTCCTGTAATTTTTCTGAGAAACCTTCATACGTTACTATCACTGCTGTCAACACCAATGGATTTTTTTGTTTGATTGTTTCAAAGTCTTGCCACCTCCTAGAATGTGGTGACTTTCATATAAGATGGTGACTTTCTGTCAAGCAAACATTGCGCACCCCTGATCAAGCTACCCTGCCCAGATTCTTCATCACATAGCTTTATCAGCATGGACCAGTTCTGAAAATGGGTGAAAGTATAATGTAAAATAAAGCTGATAGGAAATAAAGGGCAGAATTCTAATATAAAGCAAACGTATTCCAGCACATTTAGAGTTCGGTGTCAAATTCACACAAAAGAAGCAGACATGTTGCTTACCTGTCTGGGAATATTGTCTGGTCCAACACATCCTGAAAACAAAAGTATCTCCATTAATTGTTAAGATAATTTCTATTATTTATATTTTATTACTGAGAACAGTAAAAATGTAATTTTATGCATGCTGCCTAGAGTCACTTCTACAGGTGAGATGGGCAGCTTATAAATTTGATAAACAAATAAATAAATAAAATGCCAATTGAGAAATAAACTCCACTGAGTTCAGTGACACTTGCTCCCAGTTGCAAGTGTATATTGGGTTACATCCTAAATATCTTTGAGGAAAAGAAGAGCCAGAACCCAGACTTACCACAGGTTTTCACACATATATCCACACCAGGGTCATAAAGTTTTGTCCCGTTAGGGCAGAAACAGCCTTCAATTTGTTGTGTCTGGTTGTGCCCTATGAAGCTACAACAGAAGAAGCATTTTAAAAAATCACAATTATTCACATAACTGACAAAAACTTGCAGCCTTAATTAAAGATCTTTTTTTTTTTAAAAAGCCATCTATGAACTTACAAAAAACACATACAAAAAATATGCCATTCTTCAAAATTAATACACACCACCCCCAAACAAAATTTCTGAAATATGCATATATGAGTGAATATTAGAGCTGTGCGGTGCTTTGTAAATAATTTGGAAAAGGTGTTTTGGGACAGGCAGGAGGATGAGTATAGTACCAGTCAGTTACTCTTTCAAGCAGTTGTGTTGTTTCCCAGAATCTTGTGACAATTCAGAAGGCAGCCATATATATGTTCCTTCCTTCCCTGTATATACTATAGTGTGTGAACTGCATGGATTGCATGTGTGAATTGCATGGTATGCATTCATAGCTTATACAGTTGGGATTTCTAGGCCAGATCCAGTGTTTTAAGAGTTTTCAAATACTGAAATCTGGATTTCTTCTAATAAGATAGGAATCCTACTATATAAGATGCCATACATACATGTTATATTAAACAACAATGCTGTAAAAATAATAACATTTAAATAATTCTGAGTCTGGAATGTCAGAAAATGAATTACCTTGATTTGCAAGTTTCTTCTGTCGAAGGACCACATGCTTTGTATACTTTGTTGGGTGGGCAGACAATAGCTGGAATAAAAAACAAGGGAGGGAGGAGACAGGTGAAGGATACAGCATTTCTGCTATTTCAGAATTTCAGAAATAGCAGAATTAGGGCATTTCAAGCCATTTTGCATGTGCCTGTGGGTGGGGATGGATGAGAGAGAAAGAAATGCAGAGGAATGTTTAATTTTATGAGCCTTGTTCTCTTCATGGCCTATAGAAGAAGAAGACCATCACTGGCTGTGCAATCCACACAGGGAAAGGAGCAAGATGTATCAAGGTACTGTACACACTTTCACTGATGCTCTGGAATTTGGCAAGGTACTTGAGAGCAAGAGGTTATTTGGAAAGGTGTGCACTGTAATTCTTTATTTCAGACAAATTTTAGAAATGTAGACTTACGACATGATCCTTTGGTATGTTCTCTCCAATCAATGCAAACGCCTTGACTTGCACAGGTTGCTGCATATATCTGAAGACTTGCACATTCCATGAGTTGGTTGGGCATCCTGCAGCTATCAAACATGCAGGCTTGATAGTAGCTTATATAATTAATAGCTTCATGACACTTCTGAAATACACTGGATAAAAATATATATATATGATAAATATTAGGTCATCAATGATATATGAACATTTCTAGATACTTTACATACAGAGAGTGAACATTCCTCTAAGCTAGCAGGGAAAGCAGTGTATGTTTTTTGGCCAAACTTAAAGGCTACCTGGTCTGACCTGTAAAATTCTGGGCAACTTAGAATGTAGCAAAGAGTTAGTATTTTCTGTATCTCCTTGCTGCCATTTCATAATGGTCCAGACTTTTGCAGCTGAGATCTGGTAGCCTATAAAGTTTGCCTTTATAGTGTTTGCCTATAAATTTCTTTCTTTCTTTCTTTCTTTCTTTCTTTCTTTCTTTCTTTCTTTCTTTCTTTCTTTCTTTCTTTCTTTCTCTTTCTTTCTTTCTTTCTTTCTTTCTTTTTCTTTCTTTCTTTTCAGAACTAGATTAAACCTGCAGGCAAAGGAAGGTCTGGTTTGTATATAGGGGGGAAATGATCAAGCTTGGAATATTCAGTTAAATATGTTCAGTGGGTTTTGGGTAAGAGCAAATGTTCTATTTGGAGGGGGTGTCTAAAAAGAATGCATTTATCCCCATGTTTTTGTGATTTATTGTTATAAAAGCGATGCAGTAAAAGTGAATCTGTGTGAGAAAACAGTTGCAGAAGAAAATGACAATAATAGCTTTGTGGAAGGAGGCTACAATTTTTTGTGTGGTGGACTAATTTACTTCCTCCTTCCCCCAACTGATTTTGTGGAATTTGTGTATGAAAATGGTGTAGTCCAGAGACACATTCTAAGGGACAAAACCTGTGGGAATTCAAGGGAATATGTGCAGGATCTAGGGAGCTATGAATTAATTAAAATTGTTTAAGAGGGTTTTTAGGTGCTCTGCTCAATTGGCACCAAATTCATGTTAAAGAAGGTAGCAAATTTTCCCAGCAACCATCCAAATCTACATCCTGCTAGGTCCCATAGAGTTTATCAAACTTTTCTCTTTTTTTATTCCTATTCTATTCTTAGAAATGGAATTAGTAAAGAGCAGTAAATGCTAAAATAGACCTGCAATATATTTCTACAATATCCCTCTCCAAAAGTATTGTGACTGGAGACTTTCGGTAAAACCATTCATTGTGATTAGAAATTGAGCTGTCAGTCACAAAACTACATCCCTTCTTCTCCATCAGCTCTTTCTTTATGCTGTAAATGTCTTAATATGGACAGCCTGGGAAAAATACAACAGTTGTTACAGACATATTGAATTTCCATGAGCGTCTGAATCCCTGTAATATTAATAGAACTTTGAGAGGTTTTCAGGTTGATTGACTCCTCTTGTAAGGAACCTCACTTTGATTTGGACACCTAAATCTTTCAAAAGCACTGCCAAGTTCAGATTAATCTGAAGCACATCTTAGCAACTGCAGCTGTGCAATACTGTTGATGGAAATCTCTGTTTGGGGAGAAAATCAAGTTCAAATCTTAACCTTAAGGATAAAAATGGAAAACTATAATCAGCATGCTTATTTAAAAAAACAAAAAGTAAGTATGTCAGTAACCAAAAGTTGCAACTGGCTTAAAAATGGAAGAAAACGACAGTTACAAAATTACAGAGCCTTTCCCCAGTATGTGGTAAATACCATCCACTACTCCTTATGTCTTCCTCAAAGTTTAAAACACTGACAAAGTTTAAAACTTCCTTTAAAAAAAGGAAGACATCAAATAACCCTAGAAAGGATGACCCTTCCATGATTGTGCAACTAGGTAAGTCCTGCCAAGTGGGAGAACCGAAATTGATTAACCACTCCATATCTCTTACTTCACAGGAAGGGAAGGGAGCTATTGAAATTGAGAGACATACAAAAAATGGCAAATGAGCATTAATATTATCCCCACAGGCATCTACTACTAGCCACAATGATCAGCAATGATGAAACATGCTTCATGACATCACAATACAAACTCTGACATTTTGTATTTGTATCCCAACTTCAGACAAAGTGTGCTTGTGTTTGTGTTGTGACATTACAATGACTGTTTCAGCATTTGCCCCAACACCTGTAATGCTCCCTTTTTTTTCCACAAATGAAACTGTAGAGGGAAATCTGTTCTCTCTTCTCATCTCCTGTCCCGTGTTGGAAACAAATTGGAGTCAAAACCAGAGATGGAGGGGGAGCTGACAGCTCTGAAAGGGGGAGCTCAGGAAACAAAGTATTAACAAGGGGGCAAAGACTGGAAGAGAAAAGGCTGCAGTGGTGCCTACTCCTCCCAACACTCCCCAAATGAACCTCTGCTGATGCCCACAACAGGTCAGCTGATCATTATATGAAGTAAGGCTGACAAAAAGCTCTAGATGTTCCACACCGTGAAGCTAAGGTAGGATGGTATCAGCTTAAGGGAGAAAATATTATTTTTATTTCAGGACAAGACTGTTTCATGAATGGGTTGAGGGTGTGATAAGGACAATGTTACAGGGCCAAGCTGGAAAGGTGTCAACAGGGTTTAAGGGTGTTGTGAAAAAGTGCAAGTGGGATAAGTTCATATATATGGGAACAAGTCAGTGGTCCCAGAATGACATATACACACACTATGAATTTCTAGAACAGTTGCTTAGCAGAGCAGCCTACTGTAGAAAAATCAAACCATGCATAAGGTATGGCTTAAAATCTGGGAAAAAAAATCAAAAGTGAAAGTAATGTAGAGCCTATTTACCTCCCTCTCAGAAGCTCACACAGCTGAGATGGTTTGCAGGGAGCAGGAGTTGGAGGTCTCACAGTTGGAGGAATATGACTACACTGCGGCTTTTCTGGATCAGAAATAATCCAGTCATCTGCCATTATTTCACAAGAAGGTGCAAGAGTCCCATTACGTAGCATACAGTCATCTGCCATATCATTGTTGCACTTGCCTAAATTGGGATGACAGAGGAACCACACAAGTTCATACTTAAATTTCCATCATACTGTTTGACGAGCAATAATTTGCTATCTAAAATTGTAATAACAGTAACACACAGCAGTTGGTGAGAACCCTAACACTGACAGTAGCAGTACCAAGAATAAGGAGGAGAGGGAAAAAACAGAACAAATTCACACAGCTGATAACAAGGGCTTTTATAATTTCCATCTGTGTGCTTGCTTTTTATATCATATGTAAACAATCCTCATTGTTGGAAAAAATGGCTGACATGCAAAATTATGTTATCATGCCTGCTTGTTTATTTTATTTATTTATTTATTTATTAAATTTGTATGCCACCCATCTACCCCAATGGGTGACTCTGGCAATGTTATAATTGGTTGTTTGGATATTATGTCAGAATGTCTACCTCTTATGTTCCAGATTGTTTTGCAATCATCTCCTTTTCAATGTTCATTGGACAAGTATAAATATAGTCATTCTTACCACATTGTCCCTGGGTGTTGTTGGCAAAAAGCTTATAGGGCATCCGGATTGTGAAGCCCACACCGCTGTATGTTATATTCATACTCAGTCTATGCATTTCCACCACATGGCTTATACCAGCCTTGTAAATTCTCATGTCATATTTTTCGTAAGGTAAAGCCACCGTCTTTTGATTCACAGCCACCTAATGTTCAAGAAGCCAGAAAGAATGTAATTAAATAGTAAGCCTGTTAACAATGAAACAGTTTCTCCCCCAAATATCTATTTTAACTATGATAGACATAAGATGATAGATATATAGATATAGATATAGATATAGATATAGATATAGATATAGATATAGATATAGATATAGATTCTGGAAGGCCCTCCAAACATGGTTTTGTCAACTGGCCTGGGAATCCCATGACAGAGCAGAACCTACTAGATGGTTACATGATGGTTGACTGAATGCACTCTCTGTATGTTCCCCCCCCCACACACCATTTTGTTATTATCTTTTTAACATATTTTGATTATATTTTGAATTGGTTTTTATCTATATGAATTGTTTTATTGTGTATGCCACCCAGAGTCACTATGTGAGATGAGCAGCTATATAAATGTAGTAAATTAAATGAATAAATAAAAGTAGGCCATGGAGGGGAGGGGAGGAAAAGTTGATTTAATCAGGCATTTGGCGCTTACAGTCACAGTCCTACATTCACTGCAATCCTATGTCCAGTAATTGCCCTTTCAAGAACCTAATTGATATGTTTGAGCAGTTGAAAGATATATTAACCTATCTCCCTATCAATAATATTTGGACTATAATTAATAAGGCAATATCTATTGGTTGTAATAGCTGAATTATCTACTAATGGTAAAATCTTAACTTGAATCCAGCATTCCATCTTGAGTCACTGCAGAAAAGCAGATTGAACAAAAGCTCACTTTAAAAGCTGTCCACAGTGTCCTAGTGATATACTGTGCAAATGAGTTCATGAAAAAAACAAGACTTCCAACCTTAGTTGGAAGTCAGGCTTACAGTACAAAGGCTGCACTCTGTTTCTATTTTTTGTTCTGGTTTGGCATGGTCTGATTTTGCTTTATCTCTATAGTGCACAAAATAAAAATGAACTTGCGACCTTTGTGGTCTAAAGCCATCATCCCAACCAGAACTAGACCAGTGGTTCCCATCAGTTGCAATTATTATTCCAGCAATGCTGGCAAATTTATGTCACAACCTTGAGTAAACTTGGCGTGGATCTTAGGAAGTACAGGGAGGTACAGCTGTTTGTTGCAAGGTATGAATCCAACTGTATGCAAAAAATGTTAAATTTAGCAGCTGGCATGTTTGCACATATGCAAAATGGAAGCTTGATTTTTTTCCCAACTGAAATTCATGAAATGGGAGAAGGCTGACCCATCAGTTCACTCCTTCTGGAACTGGGGCAGGTAGGCAGACTATCAGATCAAACTAGGATTTTCTTCAGTAGAGATTGCAGGAAGAGGCTCAATGTGCTTTTTAAAAGTTAATGATAGAATTAGAAAAATGTTTCTTTTCTTTGCCTGGACAGGTATAAAATTCTCAACACTGAGTGAATGGTTGGAGTGGATTGGTGCTAAAGGTGTATTGTTGCTGTTAAGGTATGAACTGTGAATGGCTTGTAACTGTGATGACTAAGGTCATACTTTCTTTTAAATAGCTAAAATTGGGGCAGAGGAAAGTGTTTTAAAAAGGCAAAAATTACTGCTTTGAAATGGGAGGCCTTGGTTTGGCTAAGGTTTGTTTTATTCCATTGAAGAATAATGGAAAATGGAATGAAGGGCTGTAACGAAGGAAAATACAGAAATGGGGGGGTGGTAGCTTTGGTTATTATTAGGCCACAACATAAACTAGTTTTATTCTTTCTGGGAATAATGAAATCATAGTAATAACAACAGTAGTCGTTTTATTTTTAATGTGACTATAACTGAGCACAGTACAAAACAATAAAATATTATATTGTCCCCTATTGTGGGGGAGATGGGTGGGGGAGAAATCCAAATAAAATATCAAAAATAAAATGGCTCACTACAATCTAATTTAAGAGCATAACTGAAACACACAACCTCAGTAACCTGAATGGCCCATAAGCTTTGATACAATCATTGAAGCCTATATCTAAGTAACACCACAATTCTGCAGAAAGAATACACGCCTAAACCAGCTTCACAAAGGCCCATCAAAAGAAAAAAAAAAATAGCACCCTTTCAAATGTTGATCAATCAGACTCCAAGCAAATTTCTGATGGAAGCTGATTTTGGAGGACTGGCACTGGGGGGAGGGGGGAGTATTTTTTCTCTAACACTGTGGCGTGGGTATTTTAGTACAAGGAGATACTAGCAAGCCATAACTAGATCAATGATATGTCAAGTACAGATATGCTACAAGCAGATTTTCCTTACAACTAGGTGTGCCTGTGTGCAAGGCCTAGTGAGATAACATCAGCAACTTAAAAAATACCATGGACCATGTCTAACATTAGGCCAACTGATCCCATGTGACATGACTAACATTAGGTTAAGGTTCAGGAGCTGTTTGTGGGAGTAATAGGCTGTGGCTAATTTTTGTTAGCCACAGGGAGTAGTTTGTAGTAGTACTAGTTTGTGGGAGTAATAGGCCAAGCCCCACAAGTTTGCTGTTATTCTTTCTGGGAATAAGGGAACTCTAAGTTTTCTTTATTTGTAAAAGTCGGGGAGTTTCTGCAGTATTTTTACTTGGGAAATAAGTCATCTTAGAAAGGAAACCAATAGAATATTGCTAGCAAGCTACAACTGTTAAGTTCGTTACACTGAGACTTGTAACTGGGCAAAAGAGAGCTATAGTTGCCAAATTTTTTTAAAAAAGTACAGTTAGTGTGTCAGCCAAGGAGGTAAACAGTGGACTTATATATTATGAAAGCTTGGTTTGGTGTACCTGGGAATTGCATCTTCCCAAGGAGCCATACCAGCCTGCACAAGCCACTCATCCCTGGGTGTCTAGCCTACCCAGGATAGACTTGGAGCAGGTTTAAATGTCAAATCAGCACAAGCTTTATGATCGGACCCAAAAGCCTAACAAGAAGCCTTTCTCAAATGTGTCTGAGTGAATGGGTGGTTATTATCTCCAAAAGAGAGAACTGCTGCTATTTGCTTGGGTGCTGCTAATGCTAATACTGCATTTTGCTTATTTATTAAGTTTTGAAGCCATTTTTTAAGTTGAAGTAGGCCATCGCATTGGTTTCTATCGTTTTGTTTGTTTGTTTGTTTTTTGTTTTTGCTACACATTAGACATTTTGGAGGTTTGTTGTGTTCTCCTTTCCTCAGCCCTCCTCTCTCTACCTTAAATGAAAGAACATTTCAAAAATCTGTTGTAGTGAAATCCATGAAGCCACCTGGTAGATATTGCCTGGATTATACCAGCAAGTAGGGCTTTAGTGAAGGGAACAGGAAATGGCCACAGAGCTGCTTGAAAGAGATAGGAGAGAAAAGCCAAAAGGAAGATTCTCCTGAGCTACTCTTCAGAAATGAAAAAGAGTATGGCTACTTTCAAGACTTTCCCTCCTTCCAGACTATGGACATGGCTACCTGACCTAAAACAACACAGACATTCCACCACATACATGGAACTTCAAGCTACCTGAGGGTATATTGTCATTATTAACATTACGGTCTATGGAGGAAAGCTTTGCTATACATGCCTTCAAAGGTAGGACTTTTTGGACTCAGTTTTTTCACCTGAGGTGAAAACTGGAGATACTAAAATTGGAACATTAACTTGAATAATCTGTAAATCATATAATTAAAGGGTTGTTGTGAAGTAACCGTAAGAGGTACTGTAATACACTCTGTGTGATATATGCCCCAGAGGAGAAAACTACTGGCCATTTGCAGGATTGGTTTAGTAAATTCTCAGCTGAACATGGGTAAGTAAAGTTCTGCTATTGTCATACCCATCATTTACAATTTTGTACTGAAATGGAAGCCATTTTACACATACCTCTACTTTCATAGGAATCAGTCTGACCGTTTTGATGTGCACTTCCAGGGACTCATGTTTTATAATGAGAGTGCGGGGACAAGAGACAACTTCCTGTGGATCACAATGGTAGTTATCGATGTACACTCCAAAGTTGTGGATGGTTTGATGAATCTCTTCCATTAGGACATAGGTACAATTGCCTTGATAACTGTAGTACTGGCCATCAAATGTCATATAATGTGGGTCTCCCCAACCAGTGCAATAACCTTCAGAAAGACAATAGAATTGATTAAGTTGTTTGTTGGGAGCTCATATAAATAACTAATTTGTAAAAAAAATGGCAAGACTACCTAATGGATGTTGGGAATAAATTAGACTAGAAAATCTAGAAAGAGTTGTCAAGGATACTGTGATTAGAATAAAATACTGTCAATCTCATTTACAAAGGTGAGCACAAATGGGATAATGAAATTGCCCACCAAATTTTGGGGGAAAAAACTTAGTGGACAATTCTTCCAAATTTCTCCAGAATAAAGAGAAATTCTCACATTGCTTCCCAAGTACAAAATTCTCCCTTAGCATGGACAGAAGCACTTCTATGGGAAAAGCCCACTGGGAGCAGTTCTGTAATTATTGCTTCCTTTCACTTTTTAATTTTGATTTTGCTCAGTATTTTAAACAATTGCTAGATAATAACACGGTGGAGAAATGACAATCAACATTGTTTTTACTGTACATTTATTTATTTGAATTTACTAGATTTTCTAATCTAAGATTTTATTAGATTGAATGTATTACTAATTATTTATTTGAATTTATTTATTTATTTAAATGTATTTATTTATCTATCCGAATTTATTATTTAAAAGACTGTGTCATTTGTTTTACACATAGGCGCCAATATATGCAGTCAATAACGGACATTTTTTCCTTTTCTTTTTGGGAGAGAAATTATGCTGACTAATGCTGGTTCATATGAACTTCTTCATTAATTAGCTACCTTATATGTTATTTTGGTAATTGTATCTGTTCCATCACATGAGAAGTTGCTCCCAGCAGCAATGGCATGCTTAAAATGGTATCTGAAAATATCATTAGTATTTTTTTATTTTTTGTTTGTTTGTTTGTTTGCCCTTGAGTCAGTTTTCACTCCTGGTGACTGCCTGAACAGGTCCCTGCAGTTTTCTTGGCAAGACTTTGGAAGTGATTTGCCATTTCCTCCTTCCTACAGCTGAGAGAGAGTGACTGACCCAAGGTCACCCAGTTGGCTTTCATGCTTAAGGCAGGACTAGAACTCATGGTCTCCTGGTTTCTAGCCTGGTACCTTAACCACTACACCAAACTGGTTCTCTCATTAGTATCCCAAGGTCACCCAGTTGGCTTTCATGCTTAAGGCAGGACTAGAACTCATGGTCTCCTGGTTTCTAGCCTGGTACCTTAACCACTACACCAAACTGGTTCTCTCATTAGTATTAAGTTTCCTTCATTTTAAATGTCTAACAAATGCAATTTCAGTCTTCTAGCATTTCTGCATGCTAATTTTCTATGAAAATCTGGAAACATTCTTAATGTCAAAGGTGCTGATTTCTTGCTTTGTGAACATGGATCAACATACTTTCTTGCTCCTTTTTAGAGGATGCCTTTCTTAATATTTTCTTTCCAACATCTCCTGAGATTGATCCCTTCACTCCAAGTTCAACTTACAGGAATAAGCAGCTATTCAGTGAGAATACATGACTACAGGGTGAAATGGGTTTTCAGGTAATGCCACCATATTTGCAATATAATACCAGTACGATAACTTTAGGGATCCTTCAAGAGAGCATCAAATAGATTTATATAAATATACTAGACAACCCATTACCCGTTGGATCATGATTTCAGAGATATTTCCTTACCTAAACAGAGAAACAGAATGACCAAGGGCAAAAAAGCAGTGTGAGTATGAGCAACTTACAACTTGCTTATTGACTTTGCTTGTGGGAAAGCAGCCAATCACCACTCAGCCATCAGGCCTTGCTGCCAGCTGATTGGGCACAGAGGACAGAGGGAGGCAGAAAAGAGGTTGGGATACACCCATGATGATCACTTGACCTGGGCTGACTGTTGCAATGCAGCAGCATAGCAGTGCTGAAGCAGCCAGAAATTTCTCAAATTTCAATCCCATGGGAGTAATGGATGCTGGATTTTGGATGCATTCTGTAAGTTACCTCTATCTTGGTTCAAAAATTGTTGCCCTATGATGCACCGTTTTACCCAGTTGAAGGTTACAGACACAAGAGTTTTAGTAGTATAGAGATAAACTCACAGTCACATTCCCAGTGCCAGCAGCATTCATCATCATCCAATACTTGCACAGGAGCAAGCCCATTGGCACACTTGGGCTTTGGTGGAGGTTCACACACTGTAGGAATCATCTCCCATAAGTTATCTGAAAAACACTTGAACTTGGTGCAGTTACATATAGTATGAATTTCTCCTGGCTGTATCACCTTAGACAACAAAGAGAAAATGTATCACACTTTAAACAGGAAAAAGAATAATCATGACGAAACATACAGCATAGGAATGGATTTGAAGAAGAACTAACATCTAACTAATCCCAGTCAACACCTGCCTTTGTTGTTATAAATTGAAATAATGCCATCAGTTGATAGAAAACTATATTTCATGGTACCCTGTACGGCTTTAAACTACAGACATAGCTATGCACTAGTATCTTCATTTTGTTTTTTAACGTATTCAATACAAATGACAATACTAGACATGATGGCTTTGCATATGATGTTAGCTAAGATTTAACTGAGATAATACATGAAATTGGAATCAATTCATATGACAAAGGCAACTTTTTTTCTTTGTTCTTTTGGTTAGTGTAAGAATTGGTCAAGGGAAATAATTTGGCCCTCTCCAATCTGAGGAAGGAGTGCAAGTCAGGTGCTGGACTAGGAGAAGAGAAACCCAGGCACTGGACAACTTTGGGCCAGTTGCATTCTCTTAGCACAATCTCCCAGAATTGTTGATGGGAGAAAATAACAGGAGACAGTGCTGTGTATGCCACCCTGATCTCCTATATGAAATGGTGGGATATAAATCTACTAAACAAAAAATTCCAGATATGTTGGACTAAAACTCCCATGATCCCCATCCAGCAAGGCCAAAGCTTGATAATCTAAGTGAAATCTAATTCCAGTGATGTAATTTTAGCTATGTTTTTCCAATATATACTACAAAATGGACACAAGCCATCATATGTTGATAAAATCTGTATTTAGCATTTTTTTAAAAAAACTCATCACAGTTAATTTTGTACATTTTCCCTCACTTGAAAAGGATGGGCCTTTTTTATTTCTACTGAATCTTGAAGATGAGCCAGTATCAGTAGAAATTCATGTACAAAATTAATTCTTATTATGCAGATTGATGACTTATCCAAAACTTTTGAATAAGAAACTTCCTGAGGCATCTCTTGGAGACAATTTCTATTCCAATACCTTTTGTATAAACCCTGCCTTTTATGAATCTCAAGATATTTAGCAAGCAGTCTGACTGACATCTGAGCATGATAAACATAAACATATTCCAAGTTCCACACTTAATTTTAAATAAATAAATAAAATTAAGAATTACTAACAGTGTCTCCATCCATGCAGGGTTTTGTTGTACTCGGGGATGGTGTTTCACTTGTACTAGTTCCTGTGAATATGGACATTGTTGTTGTGGGTGTTGTGGTTGGACATGGCCAATGGTAAGTGTTCACTCGGCAGTGAAATGAGCAGTTGACAAAATAGTACACGCCATTAAGACAGACATTTGCTATTATATCACCTGGAATGGAAAGACACGTAAGTAAAACAAAACAAAACACATTTTTGTGTGCAACTTCTTTAGAATTTTCTGCTTCCCAAATTCTTGGGATTTAACTTCTAGGGTTGCATGCATAGCATTTTGGATTTGATTCCAAAAAGGTACTTCAGAGTGCACCAGGGGTATGAACATACCATCTGCCTGCAACTCTTTAAAGCAGCTGCATCTTTCAAGAGTTGCAGATTGGTACTACATTCACACCTCAGTATGCTCCAAAAGACCTTGAATTCAAAACATTGTACAACTGTATTGGTTTCTACAGAAATGCTGATGGATTAGCAGACTCCATTACTTCTTCATACTAAACTGAATAAAATTTTAATTACTAAAATAATACTATAATTATTAACAGAACAATACAGAACATAGCATAAAGCAATTATTAGTATTAAAATAATACAATTGGGAACAAGTTATTAACATCTTCAGGACAAAGAATGAACGGCCATCTCAGATTATATATGTATAAGACAGGTGATCGTAACTTGAAAATAGTGAGAGTAAGAGAGAAACATGAGGTGTAGTCGTGTAGGTATGATCAACCTATAAAATCCAACTGAAATATATCAAGGACTCACCCATGGGTTTCAGAGCTGAGCATCATGTCCAAATGCAACCCTTTTTACAAGGTTCACATGGATTCTTTCTTTCTTGCAAATCAAAGGCCAGAGGTTTTATGCACAACCAAATCTATTTCATTTCTTCTTATTTAAGTGTGACTGTCATCTTGGAATCAACCCAATACATTCTAAACTCTCCTCTTCAAGTAATAGTAGAGAGGAAGAGCATTATTTAGGGGACACTCTATGCAATTGTCAACTTTCCTCCACTGAGTGCTACACTGTTTAGAAGGTTTCCTTCCTTGGCTTGTTATACCCCTAAATTAGTTAATTCAGAAGCACTCTGAGACCCATGGGGTGAATTCTACTTCTTTGATTAAGAATGCAGTCATAATGTCCTGGATTCAACATCCTGCACTGGTGGTTATAATCATGCCTTATATAATTAAAATGATTTTAGTAATTTGTTTGTATATATGTTAAGAGCATGGTCCAGAAATACCTGGATGACCATTAGTTTGCAGCAAAGAGATTTTTCTGACTCTCTGCTACCATCCAATGGTTGTCTGGATTTTTGCAGTCAAGATGTAGCAGCCATAGTATGTGTGTATATGTGTGTGTCATCATCAACTACAAAAATCAGTCAGCGTTGGAATACTTAAGAATGCTACTGATTGATAAATGGTCATAAATGAAATGTCTAATAAGGCGAAATCAATATGTACAGGTCATTCTCATTATCTGCGGTAGTTACGTTCTGTGAAAATGCTGCAAATACCAAATTAGTGAATGCTGAAACCTCAGCTGGGAGCATGTGCATTGGGCAAGTCCAATATTTTGCCACTCCGCATGTCTGTGAATAAGTGCAACAGCAGCACAGGTACTGATTTTGGGGTTACAAAAGACATTTTCACAAATAAGCAAATTTGCACATACGGAACCCTCAGATAATGAGGATTATCTGTATTATGTAGTTAATGTATGTTTTATATGTAAATGCTAGAAATTCTATCGATTCCAGGTAAAGTATAAAATTACTGTTGACTTTGGCACCAAGTCAGCTAAGTCAGGCAGCAGAATTTCATAAATGTTATTTACATCAATTAATTACTCTATTGTATTGTCGAAGGCTTTCACGGCCAGAATACGATGGCTGGTGTGGGTCTTCCGGGTTGTGTGGCCGTGTTCTGGAAGTTTGTTTC